CGATCAAGATGCAATTCTTGAAAAATCTGGCTGCCAACCTGCATGAGATCCAACCCTGCTGTCCTGTTCAGTTTCCCAGAAACTTTTCCATGAGGACTGCTTCGTTCATGGAGCGGGTCATCACCAGCGTCATGGATACCCCACAAGCCAGCCAACGTAGAGATGCATTGGCTTTCCCCATGTAGCAAAGCTCGGGTATTTGAAAAGGGTCTCTCCCTGCTAGATTGTTGCGGCTAGACCACGGGGTGTGCGCAATGGTCTCGGGGAACTTGCGCTTGAACTTCTCGTTCTTATCGCAATGAAACTCATCAGGTTGAAAATCCTTCGGAAAATCAGACATGACGCCAGATTTCCCCCCCGTAAGCGATGACTCCAAATCCCACTGTCTGGCACGGCTTTCATAGGCTTTCGGGTTCGGGTGTTGGGATGGTGGTGTGCGGGGGGCAGTGTTGTGACCTTCACTTGCAACTGGAAGTCCAGCACGGCTTGTGTCAATCTGGGGATAAGCTGAAGAGCTCTGCTGCCACGATCCACCGCTAAAACTACTCCACTGCTGGTTGTACTGCTGGTTGTGGTGCGAATACTGCCAACCATGTTCACCATTCCAACCCTGCTGCCAATCAGAGTTCCCAGAGTTCCAAGACGGCCAACGGTCCGACATGATAGAGACTGTACAGACATAATCACCTGCTACCGAAGAAGAACACGCTCGAGCAACAACAACAACCTTGAGACAACGGACAGTGAGAAGCTGCAGAGCATTCCAACAGGACTGAGAAGCCCAAGCAGGCAATCAACGAAATCACAACCCAAAACAGCAGCCGCAACGCAATGCTTGTTTTGTCAATGCTTGAAGAGACAAAGACTAGTTAAAACCCTAAGCTTAAAATAGCTTAAAGGTGACACGAGTGTTGCTAACCCGCGTGCGTATCTCCTTCTTCGCGTAGCCACACAAGCGAAAAGCAAAGCCATCCACCACACTGTGATGCTGACGATTCTAGCTTTTTTGATGCTTGCTTAATCTCTAATCGACTCTCGCTGAGCCTTCCAGTCGCCCCAAGAGTCCCAAGCAGAGTCATAAACCAAATGAAAGTTGTAAATGACCGCATCGTCAGTCCTGAAACACCAGCGCTGGTCCTTTGACGGTGGCTTGACACAGTACATGAGCCGTTGTTCTTTTTGTTTGTCAGAGTTGCCCGGTTTGTAGTGCTCAGTGTGCATGTAGCCAGTGAAACACAAACCGAACTCAGCCTTTCCGTAGTCGCTGTTATTCGCGATGAACTGGCAGATCTGCTCCAACACCAAAGCATCATGCTGAGTGGAGCCGCGGCTGGAGAAGCCTAATGGAGGACTTCCAGCGGTAGCTCCCGAGTACTCGGAAAAATGAACCCGCTTCGAAGAGTTCACAGCAACCCTTCCGGCGATGTGACGTGCATGAAGCTGACGGGATACTCCCCAATGCGAGCACAATGTCTCACATGCTTATCTTGCCCCGGCATGCCCAACAGTTTCCACGAATATATCAATATGCCAGAAATCTCGCTGTGGATCATGACAGGCTGCTGGAAAAGTTGTTTCTAGGGTACTCCGGATTGATGAATGGCTCCAATAAGCTTCTCGAGCTGAGTAGGTGGCATCAATAGATCTGCTGACTCCTTCTCGTACACATGTTGCGTTCCAACTAACAGATGGCCGAGGACCTCTTTGCGAAAGCCATTGTCATGCAAAGAAGTCGTAACTCCATGGTTTGACCACAGTTGCAGCGAATCCCTCCATGATATCCGCTCAACGTCTGCCGGTAAAATGCAATGGTGCGGAAGAGTGGACTCTGCTTGCAAACTCTGTAGGCAGGCAAACCAGGCTTGCTCATCAGTCTCATATGGCAGCTGTTTTGCACGGATGACGACATGTGCTTTGCGCTCGGAAAACTGCAAACAACCTTGCACTGCACGACCAAGCTCAACCGATTGCAAGAACGTTGCTGCTGAGGCTGGTGATGCTTGCTTTATCGATGCTGTTTTGAAGGTCTGTCCTGTGCTGTTACTGATCGAATGGGCTGGCTGAATTGGCGGAGTTGGTGCTGACGCACGGGGTCGCGCCGTGGGATTTGAAGGGGTATGTGGGGTGCCACTTCCGATAGCCTGGTGGGTAGGGGTGCTGGCTGAGCACATCTCTGACTGTACACGCAAGATCTTGTTTCGCAGGAGTTGAACGCGCTGCAAACGTGGCTCAACGGATTGTTCTGAACGAACCACACAGGTGGGTGGTGCTGCCTTCCCTGTTGTTCCGTTCACTTTAATATGCACTACTTGCCGACATGGGTGCAGTTTGTACCGCAAGTGGTGAACCGGAACTTCAGCGTGCATAGGCACTGGTTGCAAGGAGACGACTGGAATATCAACATCCACTGCATGGGTACTGGCCTGTTATGCTCTGCAAACTAAACCGTGAAACCCCGCGTTACTCAACCAAACACCTTGACTGTCGACGTTCGCAACTGCTGAATCAGGCTGTGCTGTTAACATGGTCAAAGCAGATGAACCTGGGCCGACTGCATGTGGAAATGCTGCACTGGGTGCTGTAGTTGATGGGGCAATCACCATGCAACCTGCTTAGGAAACATGTTGTGCATCCACTGCAGCTGTGTTTTATTCCGGCATGGAGAAGCTCCCTGCAACATAGGCTGGCTCAAGGGGGCAATCCAGGTTTCTGGTGGTGTAAATGACAGCTCAGGGTACGATGAATGGACTGGATACAACCTGCGGGCCCTCTTGCTGCCTGACCTGTCCCTGTGCACATCATGTGACGGCTCCTTGCTTCTGCAACCTGTTCTGCGAGTATGGTCAGTCGTGTCACTGTTGCTTGTATGCTTGTCTGCGGAACGTGCTGGGCTGTTGGTGCTCTGAGTGTTGTGAAGCTGGCCCGGCGGCGCTTCAAGCACAAAGGTGCTTTGTTCACTGCGGCTGGTTGCATGTGCTCGTCTGCTGTCGGCTCGCTCACACAGACTCTGGATGTCTGTCGCACGGCTGCAGTACGACCATCTGAAACCGAAAAACTGGAAATTGTAAACAGGTGCTGACATTCTTTCAGCTGCATAAGACTTGGCCTGAGCCTGATCCTGAACCAGTACAGTCCGTGGGAACATCAATGGCAATCAATGGGAGAAACCAATGTTATTCAATGAAGGAAGTTTCATGAGGCGCTTCTATCAACAATGTCACACATCTCGCTCGCTGTGTGCTAAGGATCCACAGGAAGAAGCTCATGATCTATCAACAGGCGAGTACGGCACAGGGCCGTTCCTATGCACTTTGACAGAACGCATAGGATGACACACTCAGATAAGCCGTCCTCCGCGAAAAGGTAATGCAATGCGCACAAAGCTTCACTACGTTTGATGCAACGATCAGCATCCTGTCTCATCAAAGGTGTTGCCATGATACAAAACAAAATATTACGAATGTTGACCATAATTACGTGGTCCGAGTTCAAAAAGATCACAAGCCATATACTTCTTTGCAAAATTGGAGGTACATGCCGAGGTGTCCCTCAGCACTTCCCCCTTGCTCACTAGCTTCGTTGGACGCAGTCATGAGCAAGGGCTGCGCCCCCCTGCACGAAACTATGTACAACTTTCAGCTTCGAACTGGGCTTGCTCCGACAATCTGCACGGATCTGCTAGATGCCCTGCAGCTGATTCGCACCGCACTGCTGTCACATCGGATCTTGTTTTGTGGTGACTTTGCTGCCACTCTGCTGCTTTGTCCTATATCTCAAGGCTGCACACACACACACACACACGTACCAGCAAATCACCAACCAACCAACCAACCAAGCAACCAAGCAACCAAGCAACCAAGCAACCAACCGAGCCACCAAGCAACCAACCGAGCCACCAAGCAACCAATCAACCAAGCAACCAACTAACAAAACAACAAAACCAAGAACCCAGTCAACCAATCAACCCACTAACCACGGCAGCTCGCTGAAAAGGCATCTCGATCAGTTTGTAGATCTCTGGGTGGACATATTACTCCTCGGATAGGATCCAACAATCTCTCGAACAGCACCTGGCGCAATAGGGATACTGAACGAAGCAGTAAAGACTCAGTGTCGCACGCAGCTTCAAGCCCGTATCGTCTTCAAGCTTCTTGAGCAATCGGTCCAAATACTTTTCCGTGGAGGGCGTTAGCAAATTCGTTTCATCTACGACAAAGAGGGGCGATCCATCCTCTTCTGCTGTTGCTGCTTCCACCTGCAGCGACGAGAAATGCTCACTTGTCTTCCCTTTGGCAAAATGCGGCCAAAGGACTCCCATTTCGGCCACAACACCGAAAGCCATCCACGTCCGTCTGCCACGTCCTGGACTATGACCGGGTGCCATGACTGAACATCGCTACGAAAAAACACGTGACGTGGACTGCTCCCCGCACGGACTGCTGGGAGAATGCACCGCATCCGTCCTGGAAAAGCACCCGGCAGCGCAAAGCCTGGAAGCCAAAACATTCACTTGTTTGAGCTGGTCTGGAGCGGCATTATGGCGCACGGCGCGCTCTCTCTTTCTGCTCCCCAAGTTACCATCACCCAGGCCGCGTGGCCAAGCGAGAACTGCCACTGCTAGCAAGGCTGCACTTCGGACGCGGGCCACCATGGCTTCTCAAACCGTAGCAGGAGAAGCTGCAAGAATTCACATACGCTTGGAAAGCTTTCCACATGGCTACTGCCGGGGCTTCATGCCGTTTGTCTCGCCCCCTCAGCAGGATGCGTGGTCCTCAAAATACTGTTGCAAGCCACCATAACCGACAGCGTAGACTACTTCTTGATCCAAGTCTAGATCCAGAAGGTCCGGCAGAACAGATGCGAACTTCTTAGTTGGAGTAAACAAGCGAAATTTTCAAAGTGCACCGCAGCAGGCCGAAAGTTGTGCAGATTTGCAGACATCGCCCACTGAGTCCACTGAGAGGCATTGCGTCGGGGACTACCTACCTAGTTCCTCCAGCTCACAGATCTTCTTGCGAGCTTGAAAGGCTCGAAGAGGATCTGCACCTAGCCTTGCACGATTTTGCGTGGGAGTCAGTCTGCACCTCAAGTTTGGAACGAGACCAAGCTGAGGCACCAAAGTCGCTCGCATCAGCTTGTCCACGGTGTCACTTTGCCAACCGTGAACGAACATAGTCACTGCTTTGGCCTCAAAGAACAGGACCATTCCACGTTTCTTGCAGGAATCCGAGGCGCCGCTGCAGAGTAGAACAGGAGCATGCGTTTAAAGTTTTCATGCTTTTCTTCAACAGGCTGACCCTTCCAAGGCCAGCGGTTACACAGCTTGAGAGCGCACGCTCGAGGTGCCTCCTCGACAGAAGCATCCGAGCTCGACAAGGAGGAATTTGTTGAGCTTCGCAGTGGCGCAACCTGTACTCAGTTCGGTTCCCGTTCTGCAATCGCATCTGCAGGGTTCAGCCTCGCATCTTCGGTGCCCAAACAGCGACATCCAGGCACCTGCTGAGAAATGGCAAGACGTACTGTGTGCCATATTCTCTTGTCAGTGCAGGGCCTGGGCACACGCCCCTCATGCAACAGCAACTCGATGCCTGGACATTCTCACAGAGGAGGGCAGGCCAGTGCTGTGCATGTGCCAACGAAGCCTCCTCCAACTGCCACAGCCGGGGCATGTGTTAAGCCGCGTTTCAGAGAGCGGCAGAGACACTCATCGATAGTCAGCTAATTAGGTGTTCGTCGCAGTCTGCAGTTCAACTCCAACGGTAGTAGTTTAATGCATGTAGTTCATGCCGTGGCATTCACGATTGACTTGCCACACACTCGGCTCAAGCAATGCTGCTGCCTTCTCGGTCTTCTCCCTTTCTGTCAAAATGCTGCGAAAGCATTATACGACTTGTCAGGTTGGCCGTCAAGAACACTAGTAGTAGAAAACTCCATGAAACAGCTGCAATTGGCAAGGAAGCCCTTTTGGCAGCTTCTCGTTCTCGTTGCCTCGTGGCACCGTGATCCCCACCAGCACGTCCGCAAATCCACGTTCGTCCGTTCACCGGTTCCTCGTCCATCTCGAAACCCTTCCCTGCACGTAGGAGCTGACACATCCTCCGGACCAACGAGAGCTCTTCTGTTGCAATCTAACATCTCGCTGGCTCTGGCCTGCGTGCAGAAGAAAGCCCTCGCTCACCACTCCTATTTCAACTCCTGAGCAATGGAAGAGTGCATGTCAGATTAGAGAAATGCCGCGTTGTGTTCAATGCTCCTCGGGAAGCATCTCTTGCGGCAACGTGATGGGCAGGTCCTGGCATGATTGGGCCATAGCCGTCGTGGCAATACTAGTAGCGGTACCACTACTACTTGCACTACTACTACCACTACTACTACTACTACTACTACTACTACTACTACTACTACTACTACTACTACTACTACTACTACTACTATTTTCAATTGAACGCTGTGCGAGCGGGCTCTGCACATAGCGGGCGATTGCCGCGGTGCACTCACTTTGATGTGAAACTGACTCAGACCCTATGACTGATTAGCCCAGGTCAATAAGACCTATTAGAGCTTTTGCGGCCTACAGGCTTCGAGCTAACTGGCAGAGATCAACCAAAGCAAGATTGCAGGCTGCAAAATATCGAGCTCCAGCATTTCGTGATGTACCTGAATGTCGGGAAATGGTCCGTTTGGTGCATGCAGGCAGCAATGCAGCTGTCACGTGTCTGGCAGCAGGCTTGAACATGTTTTTCCGACTGACAGCGGCGGCATCAAGCAGAAGAGCTGTCAGACCGTCTTGGAAGAGACTTGAAGAAAAAACAGGCATTGCCTCCGCTGCTAGCTACGCATACTGCCATTGGCACCATATGTTTTGGGACTACTACTACTACTACTACTACTACGACTACTACTACCACTGCGTGGGGATTTGTTGCTGATGATGTCCTTGTTCGCTCACCCCACCGAGCCTATCAATAGCTGGTTGCCCTCTCAACAGACTGTCAAGTATGCTCCACGCTCTCCACACTTCAGATAGGTATCCCTGGCAGGCAGACTCGGTACTCGCTTGTTTTCTCGTTCGAGATGCGCGACGAGACGTCTATGCACGGGATGGCTCTGATCCTCTTGGGTACACACGAAAGGCTACAAGCTTTGGTTAGCTTGTGGCATTAGTTGCTTGAGCCAAAGTTGCGTTGGCGGAAAGTAAAGTACTCACGCTGTGCCATGGTCCGTGGACGAGTGTGTCGGGTCAGGGTTCGCAAGACGATACCCTGCCCTCTGTACACGACGAATCATGCTACTGCTCACAGCTCTGATAACGACACCATAGAATTGGACTGGGCATCGAGGTCCGTTCGCACCCCCCATGAGTTGTGCCTCCGCCACTGCTCACCCGGAAGATGACGCGATTGGAAAGGAATAGAAAATTATCCGCCGCAAGTTTGAAATGTTTGGATATGAGCCGTTCATCCCAATTAGCAACGATGTGACACTCATCTACGTCAGTCACGAGCCCCCGAAATGACATGAGACAATCAGGCGTCACCAAAGAAAAGCTGGCCGTGAGTGAAGATCACTCTCAAAGTAAAGCTCCATCAAAGGTCATGCGTTGTCCCTGTACAAGCGCCGAGTGAGTGCAGGATCATCACGTTCCCACGATCGAAGGTTCTCCTCTGGATTCTTGGACTTACCTTTACCCTTACCTTTTTCATCATGGTAGGTATTGGTATTCCATCCTCGACGGTAATCTCGGTCGTGTGCTGGAGCCTTGGGAGCTGCCTTTGGAGCTGCAACCCATTCGCGCTGTTCAGGCGTGAGGTTGGCATCCATGATAGACGTTCGTCCACCAGGTAGATACTCAGCTGCCGAAATATGATGTAATGCAGGACGTGCTTGGTGCACCTGCGCGTTTCTCTCTTCATCCAGCTTGCGCTTCGTGACCTTGTCGACAAACTTGGCCGGAACCTGGATGTTGTGATCGATGATCACCGCAATCGTCTGCGCAGAGTTGTCCTTCAGACTTGACATGAGGATGACTCCCACAGGATCGATGTACAGGAAATCAATTGGCCCAGTTGGTGTTGGTCTGATCAGAGAATCAGAGAGAACGTGGTATGTCCCGTGATCTTTGGGATAATCTCGCAAAGTACATTCAAGCAGCAGTGCAAAACTTTCGGGCCCTGATCCCTGTTGCTGTAGGTCTGGGGATTGAAAATGTCTCGACTGTATCCCATCTGGATCGATCCTCGAATCAAAGCAGATACTGTTTGGCTCCCCCGGAACTTCTTCAGAAGGTACTGGCTGTTGGGGTCCTCAGGGTCCTTCATTGTAGTCCACCTTGACAAAGTTGGCCAAGCCTTGTGAATGGATCTGGCCAAGAAGTATGCCATGTGGGAAAACGCAAGCCTGCTCGCGTCGATGCAACACCCTTGACCTTTGTTGGGATAATAAGGAGGCTGAATTGCTGCGCGCGCGAGTTCGAGCTCCGGGTCGATTGCCAATGCACGTCCGCGGAGAAGAAAGGGTCGACGCTCTTCAGCCACATTTTCAGGAACGTTGTCGTCGAAACCTTCCTCGTCTTCTACCTCGACCATCTCTGCGTCAGGTTCGGATTCTCCTTCTGATGCATGCATTTCAGCTTCAACTTCGGGCATCTCCATCTTGGGCTCGGCAACCGTTGCCGCGGCTTCCTCCTGTTCATCTTCTTCGGCGTCGACGGGGACTGCTGCCGTTGCTGCTTCCATCGTTTGGGCGATAGCGTTGCTACGGATCTCCGAAGGAGTCTCCTTTTGCGCCGGTCTCTGATACCGTCCGCACGAAATGAACAATGACCTACATACCGTACATCTGGTGAAGAAGGCTGGTACAACGTTGTAGCCAGCACGGCAGGTTCTCATCCTCTTTCCATCCGAATCCCGTCGTAGGTCTTCGGGTCGCGAGTTCTTGATGAGGAACATGATTCCTTCCCGAATGTAATGACGACGTCGAGTATCTTCATGGTGAAGACCGATGGATCCTGCAAGCGAATGAAGTAAGTGCTGATTGCTTGCATTGTGGGGTCCTGACGGCATTTCACAGGGTAACTCCATGATGCGACCAGGTCCTGACTCGATCGAAATCTTGCAACAATGGTGAAGCTCTGAACTCCAGCACCAGTTCGTCTTCCAACCTTTCATCGAAGATCTTCTCCACCAAGTCAAAGGAATAGTTGATCCTGTCGTTGGGAACGCAAAACCAAACCTCCTTAACAAAGGAGAAAGGTATCGGACGGCCAACAATGATCACTCCGCTGTCTGTTATCCGTCCTCCTTCACGAAGAAGATCTGCAGAGGGCATGTACATGACTGCAAGAGGCATCTTCTTGTTGCGATAGCCGTGAACCCTTGTCTTCGTAGTAACGTTCTTCGGATCAAACGGTGCGAAAATGCCAAAGTAGCCGTGAAGACGTCCGCTTTCCCATGCTCGATTGTTGTGTACAGGATCCCCAAAAGGGCGTTCTGCACCGGGTAGAACGCCTGTCCTTGTGATGGAGTCCAGGCAAGCGGTCGCATGGAATGCACCACCAAGCTGGTTCAGCAAACTCATCGAAGCGGTTCCTTCACCCTCGCTTCAGAAACTGTAGTCTGATCTTGGCACTCCGATCCTTGGTGGCGTTGGCCATGTTGCCTTGGAAAAGCAACTGCAAGCTTTCATTGTAAATCCTCTCCCTGTGGGCAGGATCGGTGTGCGAAGCGACATCAGTAACTCCGCGACCAGCGTGTGTCCACAAAGCTTCAATCTTCATGAGGTCGTCGATCAGCAGCACTAGCCCAATCTAGCCCACCACCATCCCTGCAAGCCACCAGGGTAGGGACTAGCTGGAGTAGTCGTACTAGCCGAGTGACGACAACGAGCTCGCAACACAGCAGCGCGCGACAACTCTCCTTTTTCACGGATGTGGCATATAAATCCCATTAGCCTGGAGATTGTCGCTAGCCTCAGGCTAGCCCTCCCCAGGGTGGGAAGGGTGGGTACTTCAAAATTACCCCCCCTTGTAAAAAGTTTCAGTAGCAATACCGTACAATACTTTGTACACAGCTTGACGGGTTGACAGTAATGCACAGCACACAATCGAATCACTTGCAATCCAGATCCAGTCGGTCTCAATCTTTTCTTGCGGACTGGAGCCAAATGTCAATGTGTCCACAATTGGGCTTTAGCACTGTAGAGGCCTGGAATGATGCTATGCCATCTAACACGGTCCCTTGACAATGCATCTGAATGCAGTTGTCACATCTGGCATCGTTTCAATTTTCAGAATAATGCAACAACGGAAACAATGTACAGCGAAGATGAAGACAAAGAATGCAATCGACGTGTCCAATCTGAAGGTGCAGTCTGCTACAGCAACCCAATGTGTCTTTGACAAGTTCAATTCCACTGACAGTTGCAAATCCCTCACGTCAGAATACCTCTGAACAAGAGCTATACAATGCAGTCAGCTTTCGGCAATCTAACGCTGGAATTTTTTCACAGCAATCCCCTCAGTCTGCATAGAACCAATGAAAGACTGACTGTACAATTGCTCTCAGCAATCAGATGTCACCGTTGACAATGTTGAAGAAATGGCACGGGTCTGAATGCGCCAATGAAGCAGCATTCCACGACCAAAATGGCCAATCAGCGAAGCTCACGGCAA